AAAAATTACACGGTCAGGACTTTGACTGCTTAGGTTAGGTATAATTTTGACCCACAAAAAATTGGCTGCGTCTCAATAGCAACGCGTCGGCCCACGTATGGAGGGGAAAATAGAAAGTGGAGTGGTCAAATTAGTTTTTTTTTTTCTTTCTTTCTTTCTTTTCTTTTTTTTTGGGTAAATACTCCAATATTAGGTTATAAATTTAGTAGCTCTTTCCAATTTTGCATTGATACTAAAAGTTAACGAGAGACGTTATATATCCATTCTGTTCGACTTTAGTGGCTTTAAATTTTTTTTGTTTAATAAAATATAAATATGAGTGATTGATAAAGTTTTATATTTATATCTAATTAATTATAATTTAAAAGAGTAATTTTAAAAAATAATTAATTAAATTTAAATGTAAATCAAAATATTTTAATAATTAAAAAATAATATTAAAAATTAAAATATCTTTAATAAATTAATATACAAAGAGTCTTATTTTTTAATTTTTACTTTCTTCAAAATAAAATAACAAATAACAAATTTTTTTTCCTTGGACACATGATGTACCCGCTTCTATGTAGAATGAAAATTTAACTTAGCAAATCATGGTAGGAATGTTAGAAATTTAGAATCACTTAAAGAACTCTTTGTTCTTAATTTTTTGCTATTTTGACAAGTTACATTATCATCATGTAAGGGTAGATATCATAGAATTTAGACGAAAACCTTTAAAAGTAAAATTGAAGAAAGAAGTGAATTTAGTGATTAATTTAAAAATAAAATAATAAATTACATATTTTATAATCATAAATAAATGATACACTTTTAATTAAGATAATTCCCTTTTTATTTATGATTGTCAAATGTACACAAGATGGACTCTAAAACAGCCATCCACTTAAAAATTAAATTTTTTTCCCTTTTTTTTTTCTCATATTAATTTTGGGACTTGGACGGAGGAAGCCCCACCGACCGACCCTACCATTGAAAAATTTTCATTTGAAAAGTTTGGTATGTACGTATTAAGAACGATGACCACATGCTTAGATTTCTTTTCGAGAGGGGACAGAAAGTCAGCCGGAAGATTCAAATTAATTACCATTCAACATGGACCAAGTGTTTAATTTAACCATTCTCACCGAAAAAAAGAAACAAAGAAATTAACCACTCTCACATGTTTCACATTCGTGGGACATTGATTGCAGGGATGGACTTTTAAGATAAGAGCAGGTGTTTCATGTTTATTGT